CAGAAATAAATCATTTTATAAAAATAGGAATACATTTGTTTTTATTGCCATAATGCTACTCTAAATTATGCATAAGCTTCCTTTTGGATCTAAATTAGTGCAGAATACTTTGAGCTAATATCCCTCTGAATTTTGAGAAATCTAGAGCTTACTGGCATGTCTCAATAGAAAAACTTTCGTGTCAGATGCTGAGATACCTCACATCTGAAGCACACTCGTCAGGAGCAAAAGCTCTGAAGGACAAATAGTTGGTCATACCGACATTGCTTTCAGTGCACAGAAGCAAAAGGAATACAGTCATACAAAGCTCTAAATGAAATATTTCTTGATAAGAGATCAAGCTTGGATAGCATGAGGGAACAATTGAGCCAGACTGAGAAAGAACACACGAGGACTGTAATCACAAATTTTTAAATGGTGATAAGAGCTTGAACGTGGTTCACCATTTTGTTACAGCTCTTTGTCTGTTTCCAGCTTAGGTCTTATTTTCTGAAGATTATTTTGGCAGTTTGGGATATAATTTCCAGTTTCTAAGGTGCTAAATACACAAATCCAAGAGTAGACTAGAATTAACTGACTGTCCTTACCTACCACATTTCCAGTGCACTTCTTTTGTCATTTGTTCTGTTACAGGCAGCAGTTGCAATCTGAAGCAGCTATTTTCTATTTTCTAGAACTAAACACTCATAAATGAGCAGGAGCTACTTAACATCAGCCCAACTAATACAAAAATAAACTTTAAAAGAACCAATGACACATTTCTGAGAACCATACCCATATATGTACAAAGTAGCAAGAAAAACACCGCATTAAAATAGTACAATCAATATTTTCTTTTCACTTTAAGTAGCATGACGGAGAAACTAAACAGCAGGGAAAAGCTCAATTTTAATTTTAGCTGTATCAAGACCATCTATATCAAAGGCAACAATAGATTGCAACTTAGAAAAATAAAATTGTTACAGTCCAGACCCATATTTATTTGTTCACAGCATCATTCACAGAGTTCCTCAACTCCTCGAGTAATAATCTAGAATAATCAGAAAAATACTGGAACAGGCATTCGAAACAAAAAACATGGAAGAAAAAAAACCCATAAAATAAGCAAGCTGCCAAATCCCAAAATAACTCAGAAAAAAAAAAAAAAAACAAACCAACCCTATTAAATCCATTAAATCTACTAAAATCTATTTTTGAATACATTCAGTGAGAAAAATACTGGGCACAGAATAATGTCTTAATTTTCCCCCAGCACTAACTCTGCTGCCAGTCATTCCACCTACTTGGATCCATCCATATCCAGGCTGGACAGGGCTCTGAGCAACCTGACCCAGCTGTGTGCCCGTTCTCTGCAGGGGAGCTGGACTCGATGGCCTTTCAAGGTCCCTTCCGATTCCAAGGATACTATGATATCCACCACTACAAAACTTTGCCAGCTTTGTCCAATAATGCATCTCATAGTAGAAAACTTAATTAAAAAATGACTGAAAAAAAAATCAACAGTATGAAAGAACCATCCGAATAACAACAACAACAAAAACTTTTGAGAAAGTGACTGGAATGGTTGTGAGTTATTTACACGAGTAAGGCTATGCACAATCAGGCCCATACTAATTGAGCACCACGTGCATATTATCATTCATTAAAGATATATCTGCCTGAATTTATCTTTGCTTTCTCTTCATTTCAATTACTCAATCACTTTCCATCACACAGAAAAGGAAGCACTATATTACAAAGACAGAGCTATAATTAAGACACGCCTGCATCTCATTTCCCATATATGACTGAATGAGAAAGGCTGGGGAAAACAGGAACGCTGGTAACAGCAATATGTTGAGTACATTCAGTGAGGCTTATACTGGGCACAGAATAATGTCTTCATTCTTCCTCGGCAAAAAATGTTGTGTTTACTGCAAGGTCAGTTAAGTTACTATAAGAGATTTTTAATGAAAACAATTATAAATTTAAAATAACTGTGTTTAAAGCATTTAATAGTCACTGAGGTCAAGTGATTACAGCAGTTACAAGACCCGAGGGACGTGTTCACACCAAAACAAAGTGAATAAATTAACTCAGCCATTGTATGCAATCACTAAGTGACCACAGAGGTTATTCAGCATATGAGCCTAGATGACTTTTCATGGAAAACCAACAATGAAAATTTATCAGCTGAAGGGGAAAAAAACCCTAAGAATCTGTAAAAGCTGCACGATGGGTTGAGAGCTAGAAAGATCAGAAAAGAAGATGTAGAAAGCATGCTCTGTGATCCAAATGCAGAGACAAGGAGTAAAAGCATCCACCCATTTCAGTAACACTTAAGGTGCTGAACGTTTTGTTTCAGTGAAATCACTGAAGACTTGCAACGGTGTGTGGGACCAACAAGCTTTAAAGTCACAAGAACTGCCTTCAGTCTTGTGCAACTCTGACACATGTAACACACAGAGAAGAAAAAGTGATACAGGAATTCATTATAATCATCTTTTAATTTTCCCTTGGCTTATCAACTACAAAAATTACTTGACTGGCATTGCATCTTAAAATTATTCCATTATATAATCCTAGTGGAGATAAGTGTTGTTTTACCACAAAGAAAGCAAACTAAGATATAGAAGGAAGTCAAGTTCTTGTTTTGTTCCCTCAAGGTAGAAGAGATACAAATGCTTTGACTCCACCACTGCTTTACAACAGGATTGCCAGTGAAGACACAGGGCAAAAACACATCCAGGAATTCATTCTGTTTTGATTCCAAATGAGGAGAGGGCAGCACTGGAGCCAATATTCATGTGATTCCACGGAGGAATCAATTTGCAGCTTCACTTCATGCTAGAAACCTAATAACCAGTGTTGTTGTATATATGGAGATGTACGTAAACTCAGTGCTTGTCAAAAAAAAAACCAAAAAAAAACAACAACTAAACACCAAAAGAGGTTTTCTCTGCACTTGAAATATAAAAGGCTGAGGACAAAACCAGCAGGTCCTCTCGCAGCCGTAGCTTCCAGCTAGCTTCAGTGACACCAAGTGCCAAAGAATGCAAAAGCTGCTTTCTCAGATAAATACCATGCTGACATCTACAAGAACTATGTATGTTAAGAAAGCCCCATGATATATTATTGAGGCTGGAACAAAATCTATTCAAAGAGTTAAGATTTGTCTGTTGCAAACGTTTAACAAAGGATGTATGTGATAAAATTATGCCATCATGAAATGCCTGTTATACACAAGGGAAATGCCAATGCTTATGCTGTAAGAGTCCCTGCAGAAATCTAGGAACACAGTATCAACTTACTTGCTTTGGCTTTCAGCAGTAAGTACTGAGTCAGAATTTTCCAACAACAAAACACTGGACATAGGCTCTGGTTGTAACAAAATAATACGTGTGTAATGACCTGATAGCCAAAGAACTTTGACAGGGATTCACTTTGGAGATCACTCCAGAAAGCAATTCCTTTCCTGGAGCTGCCTGATACCAAAGGCATTTGTGACAACTGAACCTCACTGAAGAGCAGCGCTGCCTAACTTGTCCACAAGGACTGGAACTGAGTGGGACCACACCTCCCGAGCCCAGGGGAGCCCTGCAGCCTACCCAGCCCTTACACTGCTTTCTCATCCTCTTCCTTCTTTGCAGTACTTGAACATGTACAGGTCATCACAAACCTGGACATAAGTATATAAGCAACAAAGCATATAAACTGAGGAGGACGATTCCTATTATGTGTTTTCCCTCAACTTATGTACAGCTACTTCTCATACCATTTCTGAATTCCTAGCCTAGTGAAGCCTAGGGGAAAAAAAAAAAAGAAAAAAAAAAAACCAGTTTTTGAGGCCATTAAATCTAGAGCTGTTTTCTAGAAATATGAACAATAAAACCAAATTTCAATAATACAGCAGTACCCCAAAGCCCCAATCCTGCATGCACAACCACATAAAAGGCAGAAAAGCATTCTTTAAAATCGCACCAGAGAAACCTAAGATCAGAGGGCAGATGGTTTGAAAGAACAGTATGGACAAAGTGCAAAGGCAGGTGAAAAAACTGAGACTATAAAAGCTCTTTTATTTAAAAATTACTTTTGCAAATCTTAATATTCTTTACTTATCCCTTGAATGGTCAGCCAGTGTTCTCCAATGGAATAAAACGATGCTATTATGAGGTGTAGAGATGAGTTAAAGCATGATGACAAAGCCATGCTTTCAAAGGTTTTTATGCACTGCTCTGAACTCGTCTAACATTTCTGGAGGATCAGCTGGCTTGAGTCACTTTCGCCTCTGAGGATTTCTAGTGTAACTGGTAACACAGCAGTGCCCAGCGAGCCTACCAGCTGCATTTGCAACAGGAGCACCACGGACAAGTTTCTCCTTCTACCTTTTGGACTTCTGCTGTTGCAAGCTAATTGTCTTCATCTGTAGCTACACAATAGCAAGACACTGTCACAGTACAGCAGAATACAAAACACCTTCTGCTTAGGAGGCGCTGAGCATCTGTGTGCAAAGCAGTTCTCTAGCTCAAAGCACTAATCATGTTACTATCCCAGTAAAAGTTTCCTCCTTCAAATTTTGACATCCTGTATCATTCAGAAAAAGCACTTTCACTATTTCTGTTTATAGCTTATAGCTTTTAGTCCTGCTTGAAATTATAGTCAGCCAAAAAGGCAGAGCAAGCACTAGTTTTGGATGTGGACATAAAAGCCCATAGCGTCATGGACACTGAATGCACTCACATTAGGTGCCACCACTCCCTGAGGGCACACAGAATGTTGCACAGTCCTTGCTTGGGAGTGACAGAATGTTTCCCCCAAGATAACGCAGAAATGAAGTGAAGTCCTTATATTTGTCTTAATTAACAGAATCATACTGAGCTAGAAACAGCACATCACGTGAGGACAAGTGAAGCAAAGGTAGGGGGGTGGATTCTCATGTGCTCTAATTCAATTAGGAAGCAGTGACTGACACTTGGACAGGAGAGGTTAATTGGGGTCACCAAAACGCAGTAATTCCTTACCTAACCAGTCATTAAACTTCTTAACCTCTGAGGGCAGTCCCAGCTCGGTGAAATCGCCCGTGTGGAGAAGGATGTCCCCATAAGGCATCTGGATGCCATCTGTTCTGGAGTGTGTGTCTGAGATGCAGACAAATCGCGTGTGGCCCGCTGGTTTTGGAGTATCATATGGGATAGGGTCGACCCTAAAGCAGACACAAAGATCTCGTAACAGTTACAAGGTTAAAAGCCTCACATCTATAATTTCAAACATCAACACAAATCCAAGTAGACATCAGTACGCATGCACACCCATTTGCACACACCACGCTGAAAGAAACGACTGTAAAGTAACGCTGCCAAAAATCAAGGAGGGACCACATTCTCAAATACTTACCTGGTAAGGAAGGAAAATTAAGAAAATATGTAGGATATGACCAGTTTCTGCTCCTGATACCAAAATTAAACACTGGAGGGAAAAAAAGGTTTGGGGAACTTAGAATTTATATCGATTTTTTTTCAACATCTGCCTTGTAAATAAACAGGTGCACAGGTTTTAGATAACAAGTCCTGCAGGAGGGCCAGCAAAAGGCTCTCACTTGAGCTGAGCTCAGTATATGATTTTGTTCAAGGGCACAGGCACTCCTACCATTCCCAGCAAGGGTGTTTGTTCACACACTCAGCTACAATGCTTTGATGAGGCCTGGAAATTGCAGAATTGAGCGTAGTGTCAACTCCTTACTCTCAAAAATCCTGAGCTCATCCATCACTATAATTCAACATTGGAATAGCACAGAACCTGGCCTAACATTGAATCAAACCCCGCTGCAGCTATATAGAATTTCAATCCATTCCTCTGATGTGCTACTTTGATCATGGACAGAGCTCAGCTTAATTCTAAGAGCTGCAGGAATTATTATGGTCCACTACCATCCCTAATCATTGCAGCACTGCAAACAAACCAAGCATTTTAAAGCACTTAAAATAATTTTATTCCATAGGTGTATATTGGAACAAACCAACACAACAACGTGCATTCAAAAATTGGAGCCTGAAAGTAAAAAAGAATATTTGACAGAATTTATTAGTTTTGCTCTTCGTACTGCATGAAAAACAAGGAAATACAAACTTCGTAACTTCTTCTTTACCTTATGAAAGTCAGTACACTGAATTACTATTTACTACACACTGAACTGTGTGATAACTTCTGCTGATGTGCTCAACTCCAGCTCCCTAGGGAGGTGAGAAAGCCCCCTACTTTGAGGAGCTTACAGTGAAATCTCCAAGCGGACACGCGCTCATTGGGCTTCAATGAAAAAATGGCCACATGAATGCACTTCCTAACCAGGCCTTACTGAATCTATTTTAGATTTGGGAGAATGCTTACACACAGCTAAAATTCCAGCATATGAGAAAACTGTGTGTGCAGGGAGAGCTACTGGTCGGACTGCATTTTCCTAGGTACCATGAATAAGTAGTTCCATTCAAACTGTATTTCCCATGCATGCCTCACATTTGGTTGCCACTGGGTCACTGAACTTTTTTTTGTAGAATTCAGGCTCGACAAGACTGTGTTTACTTTGATATGGTCTTTACTTAAAAACAAAATTGCTGTGGGCTGGACGGTATGGGAAGGGGCAGTTCAGCAGAGAACTCTTTGCCTTTTTGGTACTGCACCTCCTTTTCCTCCCAGAGCACCACACATGATTAGTTGAGTCACAGAACCAGTTATCGCTACTGAAACGCCTCACTGCAAAACATGAACTAAAGCAATCGATGGATTCATCTTTTCTACAAGAGTTAGAAAATAATAAAATCATTATTATAGAGAAAAACTCACTTATCCATTGAAATTACACTACTAAGCTGGGCAGAAATAACTATAGGCCACAGCATTTTGGTATCTGCTTTGCTATTCTCTGTAGTTTATTCCCAAACAAACCCCCCCTTCGCTCTAGGTCAATTCGAAGCATTTTAGAAATAGATCACACGTTAAACATGAGGGTCCCTGAATCAACATTTCCACTCTTCCAAGCATGTTTTCTTCAGATCACACACAACACGAACACCAGCTTTCATCGCTGCCACACACCCTGCTCAGACTGTCTCTGCATGAGCCACGACCAGTGCCTCTGGGGAGCCCAGTTTGTTCACACACAGCAGCTCTGCTTTGCCTTTCTCTGCACTTTATTTCCTAACAGCCCTCCTTTTGCTCTAGGCAATGCCTCCCAGACTATAGCATCCAAATCTGGTTTAGAATTTTTTTATTCATGCAACGACTTACTAACGCAAGATTCTATAATTGAAATTCATTAAGTTCCTGACCCTTCTTTCATTTCTTTGCATACACTGGGATGTTGCCAAGTAACCTTTTTTTTTAAATATATCTTAGCTTAATTTCTTCTCTTATTCAGTAGTGTTTGCCCACTAAGTATTGGAAAGTGAGATACTGAAGGTTATTGTGTTCAGCCCATCAATTTATCTTACTAAAAACAGTCCTTCAAAAGAAACTTAATAAAAGCAGTGTTATTGCCAGTCCTAAAGGCTCAAGTTTGCTTTCTACTTGCAGGTACAGTACAGGAAACACTAATGGAAGACTTGTGTTTATCACTGCATCTTGAGAGGACTGGCCTCTGCCTTTGTGAGATCACCTATCACTGTATGTATCATCATCTGTTCCTGTGGGGTCAACTCACCTCGGGTCCCAGCCACAGGGATAACAGCCTGGCATCTCTAAAAGCTCTGTAACTGTTACGTGCCCAATCCTCCCTGCCACCCAACAGGAAACAAAATAGTTATTTCACCTCTGCCCACAACCAGTCTTTACCGAATCAGCACACACACACACACACACACACAGTCTACCATTTTCTCTTAACAATGTGCATACAAGCAGCTGTGACAAAATTCCATCACCAACAACACTAATTCTTCTGATTTCTCAAGCTGGCCGACAGCAACGCTTTATAGATTATCACCACATTTGAAAAAGAATGCTTATAGAAAGATACAGTTATACTCCAGCAATTTAAATGATTAAAACAACAGCCAGGAAATGAAAAGCAACCTAATAAGATATGGATTAGTATCAAAATGAATGAGGGAGTTTAAGAGCCCCGTGCTGCCCTGCATCCCACCAGCCCCATGCCAGCAGCCTGCAACCAGTGCTGCCCAGGCTGCTGCTGGTACCACAGACACACGGAGCTTTGCACTGCTCTCCTCCAGCATATAGTAACTTTTACCACTGTTTCACATTCTAAAAGCAGGTAATGACAGGAAGTTAAATAATTAAGCAACAACCCTCAACACTGACATTATCGGGGAGACTCTAATGGCAAGACAGAAGGGCTGAATTCCACAACTCACAGAGAAGGAAAACACCGCGTCTTTCACATGCATGAAGGGAAAGGTCATGATTTAGGACACCAAGCTACAGAACAAATGCATTAGCTGTGTATTTCGGCTCAGCCATACACTAGCTACTTAAAATGACGTCTTATAAATCAGAAGCATTAGCAAGTACCTCAGGGACAGCGAGGGCAGTGCAGCCCTCCAGGAGACATCGCCGCAGGGAGGACTACGCTGGGAACCTGTTTTCAAAGCAAACTCAGCGAAGACACTGGCACCATTTCTCTGGGAGAGAGACAAGTTTTGATTCCAAAGCATAATTCTGCATGGATGACTTCAAAAGCCAACACCACCAGGCTCTGGTTCGGCTCCCTGGTCCCCTGGAAGGCTTGTGCCTCAGAGCTGAACCCGCGGCCTCTTTGCTTTCCCACTCTCTTGGGGTTTGAGGTATGCAGGCCCCAAATCCCTCCTACGGAACAATTCCCAAGAATCTAATTCATCCACGAAGATGAAATAAAAGCCTTAAACATTAAGCCAGGAAGAATTTCTAGTTCCTAAATGACAATAAATCACTCAGAATGCAGCACCTTTAGTGGATAAAACACTCACAGATGCACAGACATCCCTCTCCTCAGAGCCCTACAGCTCAACCCAGCACTGCCACTGCTTACAGTCCACTATGAGCTGACTGGGTGCCACTGGCTTTGCTACAGGTGAACAAATCAGAGGACCATGTAATTCCACACTTTCCCAGACATACCAGACAGATGAATAAACAGCTACGTATGAGCCCACGTCCTTCCCACATTCTGTCCCATTGCATGCTTTGTATGCGGAACAGGCTTCAGACAAATATTTTCAAGTTGTAGTAACTATTTTACTGCATCGTTTGGGGAATGAGTAAATTCCTCAATATTTCAAACCGATCTTCTGATTTTGAAAGGGGAAAGATGGAAACTTTGATGAAGGGAAAGGTGGATTTGCTGACTGTATCCTCCAATGCAAGCTCCAATGGAAGGAAAGGTGACAAGGTTTTACAGAAGTTCAGTGCACCACATGCACATCCTGGCATCTCCAGTCAGAAACGTATGTGCATGCACAGACAGCTGATTTTGTGATACAACACGTGCTGAACGAAACTAAGCTAAATATTCATTTCCTCTCAATAAACACAATGAATGTCAAAACACAGTATTATGTGCTTGGCCACTGTCAGCCATAGATTGTTTAAATTATATGTATGAGTGCTTTTGTTAGCTTGACTACATCTTCCAATATGGTCAAACACTGAGAAAACATCCTCTGACTAAAAGAAATGAGATGCAAAACACCTTTCAGCATTCTCGTGGGTAAGTCTTATTTGTACAAGCACACAAATCTAAGAGCAGACTGCCACAAAACAGTTTAAAAGTTACACCTTTGCTGGAAACATCTATGTACATGTGTCACCCCTCAAAACCTTAGAGAGAGCTCTGGAAACTAAAGCAGAGGTCTGATATTCCTTTCAGAGACGTCATTAACTGTGACTTGATGCAATATGAAAAGAAAAAAGTACATTTCCAAAGCCACATGAGGATCCATTCAGCAGCTTACTGCTCATGTTTCCAACAATTAGAGCTGAAGGGAAACGATGGATCTTTTTATACAGGTTGGGGCTGGTTTACTTCTAGTCAGATTTATGAGATTAACCAGAAAAGGCTTACATTATCCACTGTCAGAATTTGGGCAAACTAAGAAAACCCTCTGCGTAAGGGCAAAGCCACAAATGTGTATTTGCACAAATACATCTTCTCAGCCTGATATAAACCTCGACAAACAACGACTCCAAACTCTGTTAACCTCAAATGCTGGTCAGTAA